AGTGCCGATATCTCGCCGATGCCGCCATGGAGGTCCTGCCTTCCTTCGCTTTTCCAGCCGCGCTTCCTTGTCGTCTCTTCTATTTCTACGTCACCCATTATGAACGCGATCCCGTCAAGTTACGATGTTAAGCGCGGTAATCCGTGTAACGCGACCCCGGAATGGGGGAATATTGTGTAAAGGCGCATTAGACACGCGTACTTTGACGAAAGGACGATGCCAAAAGCACGAGGAGCGTTGACAAAGTTGAGATAGACATCGTGGCAGCAACGCTACTACGTCACGTCTTGCGCAACGTCACTATCTTGCATGCAAAATGTATAACGGTCCATGCAGCTACGAGATGCCGCGGCGAAATAATGCTAATTTATTCGGCGTGCATATTAGAGAAGGGGAAGGAGAGGGTGAGGAGGGGCGGAAAGGGGGATGGAGGGTCACGCGTAATAAGATACATCTTATCTCTCTCAAGGATGCGAAACTAGACAATTCCGTATTTCGGTGCGCTACCGTGGGACACTCCACTTCAGAAACACGACTGTTACGTAGTGTCATACTATTTTTTTTTTTTTTCAAAGTGAATGTTAGAAAATACAGATGGAAGGATTTCAGTTTCGCAGAAGGATCTAAAAATTTGGAAGTCAGATCTGAAAGATAATTTTGTGGGACCATTAAAATAATTAAAATAATTATGTAGGACGTTCAAATTGATTGCTGGAATATAAAAAATTTTACAATAATATCGTACTTAAACGACTTACATAATAAGCAAATTATTTTACATTATTTTTCAAATCTGATCCAGCCAAATTTTTAGATCTTTTAGTAAAATTACTCTACGTTTGTGTGTGTGTTTGAGAGAATAAAGATATTGAAGCAAAAAAATTGCATAAAAAAATAAATATATAAAAACGGCTCAACAACTCTCAACTCTTAACAAATTCTCCCGACAACAATACAAGAGGATGTTAATTAAATAAAACCTACAAAAAACTATTTTACATACTTGAATTGCAATTGAGAATGTGACATATACGTGGCAAATTATATTATAATAACAAAAGTTCATGCTGGAGCGAAATATAAAATTATCATGGCACACATGAATTCACTTTTGTTCTTGAAAAAATAGTGACTATGGCGAAATGCTATGTATGCGCAGTACAATCTATTCGTTTTAGTCACATTGTGTTCTACTTGCTTTCCGCGTAAATCTACATACACGAATGTTATCATATGGGATATAATTTTAATATTTAATATAAAATTACAGTTTAAAAGTACAGTTTATATTCTATATATATGAAAATTAAATAATAAATATTTATAAATTCACATTTATATATGTGTTGTATGTAAATTTCATACGTATATAATATTTTTATATTCTGATTATTAACAAAAGAGGTCAAAATGAAAATAATTTTAATATTTTACTTCGAATCCATGTAATTAACGTAAACTTAACTTTTTTTTCTTCATGTGAAATAATAAGTAACGATGTATCGTCAATCGAAGCAAAATTTCAAAAAAAGTACAATTAAATAAAACAGATCAATTGTGAAATTAATCGAAATTCAATACTCACGACGTCGCGACTACCAATCCATCCAGTCCATCTTCCGCTGCAATTATATTCGCACTGGTATTCGAGAACGATTCGGAAGCGTCTCTGCCTCATTCCATGTCGATTGCATTCCACTTCGTATCGTTCGTGACACAAATTTGTAGGATTGCAATTTAAACAAAGCCAATAATTCACGAATTTAATACACTAGACACTACAAATGCGCGCTGGGCGCACGCTATTTTCTTCTGACATCATATATTTTTCAATTAAATGTAAAATTAGATAAATTCTATCAATTTGTGTTGCAATTACAACTATTTCATATTATGAAGTATCTGTCGTGTAAATAAAGAAAATTATTTACACTATCACATATTTTTAATATTTATTATATTTAAAGTACTTTATGACCGATATTAATTACGTAAGCTAAAGAAGATGTATTATTTAGATTTGTTAAAAATAAAATTTAATTGTATAATATATTATAAAAAAATCGAGTATTATTAATCTCGTGTCCTTTTTCCCTCTTTTTATTAATTGCTCGTATTTGCAGAGAGAATCGAGTTAACTGTATCTATATTAAACGCTTAAATTGCGGTTACATAACAACGAAATAATGTCACCATAAAATGAATTGTTTCAGTTAAGGAATAATCGTAAACATTTAACACGTTAAATATTAGATTATCATGAAAGAGGCACAGACAAATTAACCGGGAAAGGAATGAAAGATTAAATATAAAGAATTAGGAACAGAGAATTTCTTTCGATCAATAACGAGAACATCTTGATATTTCTTAATTACATATCGAAAACATGGTTTGCCACACGTCGACATTTGAGAGATTCTCTATTCCTAATTTCCTATTTTTGATCTTTTCCTCCTTATTCGTGTCACTGTGTCTGGGCTTTAGCAAGCGTAATGTTGATGCTCGCACAGCGAGAGCGCGTAGCGTTATGAAGACACGTTCGACCCCCCGCGTGAGTTTGACCGAACGTACGCGCCTACGACGCACCGGTACGGCGAACTTTATCTGTTTTTGTATTTGTTTTGAAGCCAAGTGAAAACACACGCCGTTGAATGGCATCAAGAGACGCACGCTCGCCTCAAGCATGCCAGTGTCTCGTGCGCGCGCGACCGGTCTGTACGTCCTCGCATTCGGTGCGTTGGTCTTACTTTTTTAATGAAAAATAAAACAAAGGGAGCGAATGAGAGAGCCAGGCGCCGTAATTAGTAGCACGAATTTAAACTTTACATCGTTATATCAAAATTTGCTTGAACTAAAAAAATTATAAGAATATCCATTATACGTTCGTTACATGAACATTCTTGTAATTTTTTCGTATAATTTTGAATGAATTTCGATATAATGAAGTAGAGTTTAAATTCTTCGCTCATTAATTACAGCGCTTGGTTTTTATTTACTCCTTCTTTTGTTTTATTTTTTTAATATTTTTCGAGAGCTCTTTATTTATTTATTGTTTTTAATATTCTTTCGAGACGATATGGAATACTTGGCATACTTGGTGCCATTTCTTTACATTTTTAAAACGGTAATTTTATATTTATACTTTTTTACGTGCTGAATCTTCTTGTCGTAGAAAATAGGAGTTGCGATTCGATGTTTCGTGTAAACAAAGTATTCAAAGATTTTTATAGTGATTTTAAAGTGATGAAATGATGATTAATTAGACATCCGTGAAGCGATTGTTTATCGAGTAACGATCGATTGAAGAAACGACTCGAAAATAAATATTTAAATTGTTATTTGTACTATCACGTTAACAGTAATTTAAGATTAAGACAATTCGGAGATAAATCATTGGGTTTATGCGACTCGGAAACTGCTTCGACTGTTGGTGTCCACACAATTTTGCCCTTCACGAGTTCCAGATGTATCGCACGAATCGTGTCGAGCGATGGCCGAGGAAAGGCAAAACCAACGGCGAGAAACGCGCTGGAAACGAAGTTCCCGTGAATGATTTAAGAGATGGACAGAGATTCGCCCTCGGATTCTCGTGGTTTCGCGTCCTTAACCGCTCATCGTAATTTATTTATAATAACGCAAGACTTACGTAAAACGGACACACGGTGACATTATTACAAACGGCAGCGTTATTTTGACGCATGACACCCACACCGAGTCTTTGTATCCTAAAATATACGCACGTGCGTCGTCATCGACGTCGTCGTGGGTCGTAGACGTGCACAGGAAGATATAAATACTAACGCATCACACAATTAATCGTTTCCAAGTTAAGAAAAAAAATCGATAAATTAATTTATATTTTTTATTTTATTTTTGAAAAAAATTTTGCATTCACAATAAAAATTATTTAGGTCTTTAGGTGTGAAAAATTAATTAAAATGGATAAATGACCAGCAATATCGCATATATTTTGTATCTAATCGATATAAATGACAGAGATAGAATTTATATCCGAACCATTCGTCAAATTTAGCAAGAAAGTGGCGCCAAGTCAGATAATAACCAGTCACATTTCTTACAAAAGTGACTGCGTGATCTAAGCTATGAGACTTAAATTTTTTTATATATATTGTTAGAATGTCGCCGCTATAAATTCTACGTATGACAATTTTCTGGCAGATACAGAAAATAGCGATATAACTGTAACATTTCAATAAAAAAAAAGTTAGACAAATAAGCGTCAAGCGCAATAAAAGGCAACCGGTAACGGTAAATTTTGAAGAAAAACTTTTTTAAATAAAACTTTATTATATAATATTATTTAGAGTTTTAGCTGGATTAGCGAAATATTCTTTTGAGAGTTATATACGTAATGAAAATATTAATTGTTAGTTTGATATAAGTATAATTTTTCACGACGTCCCGCTCGAACGGTACTGTATTTCCAATTTGTCACGAGTTCGAACAATTTTCTCGCGAAAAAGTTCGGAGGGGAAAAAGATCAAGATTATAACGCGTTCGCACGTATATGTATACAGAACTTGAGAAGCGCGTCATTACATGTAAGCGTTACGGAGGATAAAACGATATGGACGCAGGAGGTGGTAAAGCGAGGAGAATCACGGGAAAGAATCGCGAAGAGGAGAAAAGCAAGAGCGGTACACCAAGAGACGATTACGAGAGGGGAAGGATCGAAGAGACGTAATATAAGGGTAAAAAAGTGGATAAGGAGGAGGACGAAAAGAAGAAAGGATGAAGGCTCTTTAACCGGAGCGCTCCGAACGACAGGTGAGTCCCTTGGCGAAGGTAGGAGAGCCACAGTTTCCCGAGAGGGAGCACAGAATGGAAGGGGCGAGATGGGAAAGCGGTAGGGGGGAGGGGAAGGCGAGAAAGT